TATGAGTACATTGCTATAATGGACAAAAGGTATAGTATGTTGTTATTGTGGATTAAATTGATTGCTATAAGTGATTAAAAAACTCTAAGTATGTTGTTGTTATGAGTACATGACTATAATGGAAAAAATTATAGTATGTAATATTTATAATGGATGAAAAAACTCAAAGTATGTTTGTATTATGAGTACATTGGTATTTAGGATAAAAAGAATATTACTTTGTTATTTTGGATTAACATAATCCTATAATAAACTAAAGTACATTGATATAACGGTTTAAAAGTCAAGTAGATTTACTAAGTATATATGTTTGTCTTACCATTTTAGTAAAAAGTTTTCGTAGTGAAATAGATATAATGCGAGAGAGGCAATGCGCAAAATGACTTGGAAATGACAGAAATGTGACGAAGGCAAGCCTTATTTGGAACACAAATGGCGAATTTTTTCAACCAAAACAATCCACCCAATATTTTGTCAAACCGAAATAACAGAAATTAGTTTATGTTTCTAATCTAAACAATTGTTAATTGAATTTGACATTTGCTTGGAACGTATTTGACACTAGATTGTATTGTGTTTGATACTTTTTATTATAATATTTAATTAGTAATGTTTGAATATCGGTTTGATGTATTATTAAATGTTTCATGTATCTGTTACTATTTAAAAAAAACATTTTAACGACTCGGAAAAAATTGTCACAAAAATTAATCAAATCCATCGGTAAACAAATTCAGTCAAAGGTTTCCGTCGGAAATCCACCGCTAAACTATTGGTTGGTAGTTCGTCGGTAGTATAGTCAAACAAGGTGACAGAAAGAGTGTCGGTATCCATCGTAAATTCGTCATAATTCCGTCGGAAAACCATCAGTATATTTACCCACAAGCTATACCAACCCATTTCCGTCGGAAATTCGTCATAATTCCGATCTAACACATTTGTCTATTTGTTTGTATTTCGATTTACACACGAATCAAAAGTGAGATTGTCTTATTTTATAATAGTGGATAAATAGAGGATGGAAATGTGGTGATCGATCGTCTATAATTGTCAAGAAAACTTAGGGGATAAGTGGATGGCTATGGACAAGCAGTTAGCGGGTAAACGGGGACCAAAAGTATGAAAAACTCCACACCAAATCCTCTCCCTCCTCTTGAATTTCATGTCTCTTTCTTGCAAAGAAACGTATGATGTCATTTTTCATGTGTATATTCCAACGGAACTTCTGAATGTTTATGTTCGTAAAAGTAATCTGTTTACAAAGGAGTTTAACATCATCAAAATGGGGAAGAACATGCAACATAAGGATCCACCAAACATGCAGTTACAGACTGCTAATTCGGGAGGTATTAATAAAATATTCCATGCACTTAATCGCCGTCACCGATGGCAAAACGTCCGGAAAACGCTTCCGGATAAACGGAAAGGTTCTGGAAAGCATATTATAGGTGAGTATTATATGATTTCTTTCTACTGTTAGATTGATCTCCTATCTTTGCGTTTAAAACCAATCTCATAATATGAATATAGAATTAGGAACGCATGTTTCCGACGTAAATATCGACACTAAATTTGTTCATTATATATCGTAATTCAATTCCATGCATAGAGCTACCCAAAATTAACGTGGATGTGGTTCGTTCCAAAATATTCCAAATTTGTGCAGATGGGGAAACTATCGAACATGCAGCCACCACAAGTCAAGCACGTCAACTGCAGGGTAATCATAAAAAGAACAAATCCGAAGTAAGTGAATCAAGATCGATCATGGTGATGTTTGATTGTAGCCAATTCGCAGTTGATTAATATCTACTTTTGTATATGTTTTTTTAGATAGAACATTCAGGCACAGAAGCTGGCCCCTTGACATCTAAAGCCTCCAAGAAATTTCGAATAAGATCTCTGATCTCAGACGAAATGATCAAACGAAGGAAAAAAACTTCACCTCGTCGACGCTCTCCCTCCCCGACACGTTCCCCAAGTAAACGAAACGACAAAACTCCAACAAAAGTTACTCAAAATAATTGTGAGAGTCCCTCAACCATGAAGAAAAGGAAGTGTAATATCTGTGCTGCGATGTTAACTGTGAGTTATCTGAGACAAAAAGCGCAAGCATATGAACATCAGAAAAGCTTGGAAGATCGAGATCAAAACCAACAACGTATACGGAAATCCTCAGATGGTCACAAGAAAGGACTAACAAAGTCTTTTTCGTTCCCCATACTACGTGGATTAACGAAAAGAAAAGATTCCGAGATAGAAGAACTTAAAAGTAATTTGAGAGCTTGTAAAGATAAAGAAACTACCAAGGAGAAATTTATATTACCGATGAATCAATGGAAGGATGATACCCTGTTTCCAAAACCGATGCTAACCAGGCCAGCATCTTTCAAAAGCCCTTCTTCACGTTCACAAAAGGAGAACAACCAAACTACCAATCAATCCAAGACTCTTAGACAAAAGATAGGTAGAGTCATGAAAGAGAACAAAGAGTGTCGTGATAGTCGAGAGAGTCGAAAGAAGGAGAAGCGTAGGATTCTTATGGATGCAGTTTTTCACAAGATTCCTTATGGTCGAAGGAATTCCAAGGATCCAAAAAAAGTTAGCCCCGATAAGATTAAAAGCAATTCTACCACTAGTAGCACAGGAAGTCATCGAATGGCTGTCGTTGACAACGCAAATCTTAAAAAAAATGCGTCTACTGGTGAAGCAATGAGCAAGTACCGAAAGCTACTAAGCCAAACATCTGTTAGAGAGGACAAAGGTCATCTCAATGATCACAAACCAAGGTTGTGTGTAGCTGGAGATGTTTCTAGTGGCACAAATGAGAGAAAAACACTCAAAAACATTCACTCATTACCTGCTATTAGTCCCTCTGATTTCACCCAAAACCAAGAGTTTCCAGTTAAAACGGAAATGGAAACGCAGCAAAGTATAGTCAATGCAATTGTTGATGATCAAAAGTCGTTAGATCATTATGCATTTACAGCCAAACTAAATGTGCCTACTCCTGCTATACAAAATCTAGTCGAGGAAACCAAATTAGTTGACAAACATGGGACAGTTGGTAAAAATTCTGGAGTAGGTCTAAGTACTTCCGATCATCAAGAAAAGAACGACCCCCAAAAGGAGTATAGTTCAGCTATTGAAAATTCAACAAAGCAAACAAAATTACATGAAGAAGATGAGGGCGTTGATGCAGCTTTGAGTACTTCTGATCATCTAGAAAAGATCAACGACCAAAAGGAGTCTAGTGCTGCCATTGAAAATGAGGTCAAGGAAACCAAATTAGTTGACAAAGATGAGGATGTAGATGAAAAACTTGTAATGGGTTTAAATTCTTCTGATCTTCACGAAAAAATTGACCATAAAAAGGAGAGTAGTGCAGCCGAGGAAACTGAATTAGTTGACAAAGATGATGAGGACGTTAAAGAAAATCTTGGAGTGAGTCTAAATACATCAGATCATCAAGAAGATATCGACAACCAAATGGGGTCTAGTGCTGCTAATGAAAGTGAAACCAATGAAACCAGTTTAATTGAAAAGGATGAGCTGGCCATTGAAGATAATCTTGATGCAAGTCTTAATAGTTCTGATCATGAAGAAAAAACCGACAACCCAAAAGAGACTACTAAAGAAAGTCCAGAAATTGAGGTTGAACAAGATAAGTCCTTTAATGAAATTCTTGGAATGTTCAAAACGGTTGAACAAAAAAAACTAGACGAGGAAAGTGAGCCTACTGAACTAAAGCTAGTAATCAAGGGCACAACAGATGACAAAGATCAGGGTTTTGATAAAGACGTAGAAGTCTGCGAAAATTCTTTGGATCATGATCAAGAAAATGAAAGCTCACCATTAACCTCTGGTCCCGAGGTTGAAGATTTGATGCAAGATTCAATACTTGAGTCACCTTCTCTAATAGACATACCACAATCTCCATTAGAAGGTATTCATCATTTATGGTATCATTTTTTTTGGATCACATTGAAAATGTCTTCTTGGGTTAGGTTATTTCGCAATAACAATATCACTCATCATGGGGTGGAAATTT